ACCCTAATATAATCGAACTTTAAAGGATTTTGCTGCGCCACATGATCGACAAAACCTGTCACAGATTTTTTTCATGCAGTATAATATCGCGAACATTATATCGCATAAAGCATTTAAAAATCTGAAATCGAATCGTATGATCTGATCTACAATAGAATGTTTGTAGTAAAATGAAGCGGCAATAGGTTAAATAATATTCCTTTTGCCATATGATAGGTGGTATTGCTTCTATAACTTTACAATTATGTCTCTACATTGATTACTTAAAAAATTAGTACATTCACTTCAAACACGAAAGATCTTGTCTGTTCCCAAACAATGTATTAAAACTTTGCAGTACCGTCACAGGTAAAATGTGGAACCTCCCTATTGCCTTCTAATTTTGGTCAATAGGTATCGATTAGCACAGATAAAACGAGGTTCAATAGGGAACTCCCTATCGCCGCCTATTTTTGGAGGTCAATAGGGTATTGATTAGAGCAATAGTACTTACCAATAAGGTACGTACCAATAGCAGATAGCCTATCTGCTATTAACACACAAAAAAAAAAGCTTGGTGCAGTAATTATTATTTTTTTCGTGTACCCTGCTCGAAAAAATTTATCTGGGTACGGTCATCTGTACCCGTACCGGAAAAGTATATCTCATACTAATTTTATTGATGCAATTAGTGATGGGAATTTCTAATTATTAATTATGAATTGTTAACGATTAAAAATTAAAATTTAATTAATAAGTTAACAATAATTTCTAAGCCAATAAATCCAATATGCATGGAACAGGCGATTTTCTATAAAATCATTGATCGCATCAATTAAAGTTGTAATGGAAGATAAGCATATTTTTACAGGAATTATATATTATTGATTAGTTTTTTATCGCTACAATTCATTTTTATATTAGAGTACATAAAAAATATATTTTGATTCGCTGATTACACACTTTCTATGCATATTGGATGATTTATTTATTAACTTTAAAAATGATTTATTACCTAAATAAATTTTTTACATAAATTTTATATATTAATAAATTTTATATACTGTACTATAACTATAACTTTTATATATCGTATAGTTTAGATAAAAATTCTATATAAATTTTATATGTTAATAATTTTACATATATAATTATATAACCTTTATACTGTATTATAAAACTTAAATAAATTTTAATATAAATTTTGAAAAATTTTACTATGATAACTAATAAAAAACGTTCCTCTCCCAACCATAATTCTAACTCTAACTCTAATTATACCTTTTTATTTTATACTAACAATTTATTTATTCGACTACTAAATATAGCATTATATTTATTAAATTTTATATAACTACTATATAAATTTATTTATAATTATATTTATGTATAAATTATAACTATGTAAGTCTACATTGAGTTTATAGACCTATGTATAAATTTTAAATACATAACTGTATAATTATTAAATATATAACTCTACATAAAAACATTGAGATGTTTAACCAAATTACAATAACAGATAAATTATCTTGATTTTAAAATTTATAACATATAGATATTATTAGAACGGCGTAATCTCGGTTATTGAAATTACGTATCTGATAATTAAATATTATTATAAAAAATATATTAAGTCCAATTGGACATGTCCAATAACAACACTGCTAATAAAACCTTCTATATACTTCTTTTTTGTTTATTTTTCATAGTTTTATTTTTTTAAAAAAGTACTTTAAACTGTATAAATAATGTAAAGTTAAATTGATTTAAACTGCTAATCATACGAAAGTCTGCCATCTGGCTAAATTCTTGAATAATACCCGGGGGGTGTAACTATATTTAATATGTTGTACCCAGTTCCTCGCACGATACCCACGGGCAGGGTTGGCAATGGAGCCCAATGGAGTTTTTTTGAGCTCCATTCGCAACTCCATTGGGTTCCATTGCCAGCCCTGCCCACAGGTATTATTCGATTTTAAAAACGAAGTATGGGTAAAAAAAGTACTGACTAGTTGAAAAATAATCTTTTACAGAAAGTTTGATAATCACAAATAAAACCTCATTGTTTTGTGGTTTTTTCTTGTTGCACGATGCGTAATTCGGAAAAACCATTAGGTTATTTAATTTAATAACCGGTATATGGAACGGTAAAAATTTTATTATTTAAAAGCAATGTCTCCTAAACAGAATTCTCAATTAATTGAAAATTAATATTAGATTAGTTACTTAATTATGAAAAAAGGATCAAGAAAAGCTGCTAAGACCCGTAGTTATCGCTTTGTGAACATAACCCCTAACGTCAAAAGGACTGGCCCTTCCTCTTGCGTAAACCGCTCATTTGAAAATGTGTATATTATCAACGGTGAACAGCCGCACACTGTTCAAGTTCCCTATTCTTTGACATTAAATGTCGAAGAATTAATTAGTCCTTCAAGTCGTTCAGAAAATACAGGCAAACCACCGAGACCACAAAACAGTTTCTTTCTCTTTCGTAGAGATTTTGAAGCGAAGCAACGGTTACTTCATAAAAAAAAAGAAGAAACGATTTACTCAAAAATAATTTCACCATTAGCTGCAGATGAGTGGAGTAAACTTTCACCTTTGGAGAGAGTTTACTTCAAAGAATTGGAGCAAGAAGCTTTAAAAAAACATTCTGATTTGTATCCCGATTATAAATATCGGCCGAAAAAAAAAAAAAAAGATCCCAACGTCGGCTTAACGTTTGTGGCTTCACAATTAGAAATTCCTACCCCCGTTAATTGCACTTCCGATATAATGCATAATTCGAATTCAAATGCATTTGATAAAGAAGAGCAATATTTTGATTATAATTATAATAATCATACACCCCTTACCAACGATTATAATTTCGATATTCTCGAACATGTTTCATTTAGCACCCCGCTTTTTGAAACTGACGATATTAATAATTGCAATTACTTTTCGGTACCCCAATATCCCCAATATTTTTTTTAAAGAAATCCCTTTTTTTTTTCTTTTATGATTGCCTTTTGAATATGATGTTACAAATATAGTAATTATGTATGTTTATATATGATAATTAAACCGTATGACAAATAGGTGGACTTTCCCATTTTCGTAAAATACCAATAATATTTTGAAGTTGCACGTTTAATTGGCAAAATTTTCTAATCTTTACAATATGAATAAATCGAAAGCAGTAATAGGTTTACCTAAATTAGAACGCACTTTACTCTCTTTTTTATTTTTTTTTATTTTTATTTTTTTTATTTTTATTTTTTTTTTATTTTTATTTTTTTATTTTTTTTTTATTTTTTTTATTTTGTTTATTTTTTATTTTTTTTTATTTT